TGTTTTGTAGTTTTTCTAGCCCGTGCTTTCCTAAAACATATAAACTCTTCTCCATATTTCTGGATAATGTAATGATACTAATATCACGGCATTTTGTATTGCTAGAACTTAGTTGTCTTTGCTTTCGAACTTTTCATCTTGTTATTTTTATGTTGAGCCTGCAGATAAAATCGTGTTACTTGCCTCTACTTCCTCGACGTAAGGAGCTTCTGTCAGAACTGCGGCCAATCCACGCTAGATTGTCACGTGAAGACTCTGTTGCTCAAAGGCGCCCTATATACAGATGCAGTGAACTGCAGGTATCCGTCATTATTCAGCTTCTCTTAATGTCGTGCTTAGCCTGATATTACGATTCTTATTTTGAATTAATGGAGCTTGATCAGCCAGCCTCATATTTAGTTTTATCTTCCATCTTCTCTTGCACCTTTACGAGCCTAATAGCCTGTTTGGCCAAGCTTCTAAAATCAGTTTATTTTGAGAAGTGTTTTTCTCAAAAGTACTTTTGGTGAGAAACAGTTTGTGTTTGACTAATTAATTTGAAAAGCACTTCTGAGCAGCAATTAGTGTTTGGTCAAGCTTTTAAAAAGTGCTTTTAAGTGTATTTTTCTCAAAAGTGCTTTTAAAAAAGTGCTTCCGGGGAGAAGCTACTTTTTTCTGTTTTTGCTTCTACTCAAAAACACTTTTTTTTTCTAAAAGCTTGGCCAAACACTTCTACTTTGAAAAAAAGTACTTTTTTTGAAAAAAAGAAGAAGTGCTTTTGGTCTTGGAGAAGCTTGGTCAAACAGGCTATAAGTATGAATTAAGATGAGCACAAGGATGTGGAATTTGAAAACATAGTGTAAGTTTGGAGTCAATTTCAAAAGGGAACTAGAAGAAAGGGGCATGTAACTTTGATTTTGGAAAACTATCTATAGGTTGTCGCTTGTTGTATATCATGATGATAGCAATCCTTTCACCATGTATAGCCTACTCTTTTTTTCCTTTTTCTTTGATCAGGTAAAGTAAAAAGTTCTATGTACAGCCTAAAGAAAAGTTTTTATTGTCTGGTAAAAATAAAATTTTAGGTTTTATGTACAGCCTAGTTTTCATATTGTACATGTTGAGTTGTCCCACGTCGGTGGGATTTGAGGTCCTTGGTTTCCTTATATGGTCTTCGGCAATCCTCACCTCATAAGCTAACTTTTGGGGTTGAGTTAGGCCCAAGATCCATATCAGTACAAATGGGCTTGTGTCAGAGCTGCATTTCCTTAATTGCTTAATTCTTCCCCTATGACATGCTTTTCTCCTTTTATGTTTTTTATGTTAAATTATGACTAATTTTCAGGCTGAAGCTGCAGCACAATTCTTGACTGTTATGCGGCGCTATTTAGAGTCTCTTTGTTCAGATTTGAGGTCTCATACAATAACTAGCGTACAGTCAAACAGTGACCGGGTAATGACGGGTTTCTAATTGACTCCACAATCTTTTGGTAGGTTGATCTGGAAACTAGTAGTCTGAGTCCATTAAGCTTCTCCTCTTATTTTCCAGGTCTCGATACTGCTAAAGGATAGCTTTATTGATTCTTTTCCTGGTAGGGATCAACCTTTTGTGAAGGTAAAGTCAATTTCTCTGTTATCAGTAAGTGGTAGTTATTTAATTGGCTTTTCGTTTTTCACTTGGCTTGCTCAGTACCAGATATCACTGCTTTTGGAGGCATTTTGATATATTGTTAAGTGGTATGGATGCTAAATTTTGCTGAATAGCTCTGCCCGCTCATTAATGTGTCAGTCAGAATAGATGCTTAGCACACTGTACAGTGGTTGTTGTATTGGAACTTTGTTTTTATGTTTCCACTGACTAATGATTTTGAACATGCAATCGAATTGGAGTCATATATCTTATTCATTAAAGGCCTCTTATTACACTTATAATACGCCTCCGAAGTTCCATGAACTTTTCATCAGTATTACAAAGCGGTGAGAACCATGTGCTTTCCTTTTGGTTTTCACAGTTAACGTGTCATTTTCTCATTACTTGGGATCTCTCTTATTCATTTTTATGGGCGTTAAAAGTGGTTTCTTCGGTGTTCTTTGAACCACCAATATGAGCTCTTTTTTTTCGTTAGCTATTTTGCTTCAAGAACGAGCTTTTACTCTTCAATCTTGACTCAAAACCTTGAGGATGGTGTTGCCTTAAAAAGCATGAGAGCAAAGTACCCATTTTCATGCATTTAACGGAGTGGATTATTGAGTTTATCATCATCTGTTATTGTTTTGATAACATAGAACCTTTTCCTTGAGATATTGTTCATGGTTTTTTTTTTTCCGAGTAGGATGATTGTGTAATCCTCTGTTACTTTGAAGCTTAGAAACTCTCATCAGTACATTCTCTTCTTGTTTATGCAGCTTTTTGTGGATACACAGCTTTTCACCGTTTTGTCAGATGCTCGTCTTTCAAGCTACGAGAACGAGTAGGATATTAGCAAAAAAGATGTGCTTGAACTTTCTGTTGTTGCAGAGAAGAAGCAAGAGGACATAGGCACATAACCGGACTAACCTTTTTTTTGTTGTATGTTTTGGTATACCGGTGTTGTAGCATAGAAAGGCATGAGTTGTGCACAGGCTGTAAGGAGAAACTTTATTCAGGAATAATTATGATAACAATTGACAGTTTTTCCTCCAAATTTTGGAAGTATAGGTGATCTAATGAAATGGATTTTCCAATAACATGATTAGAAAACTGAGAAAGATAGCCTAGAAGATTATCATCCCTACTTTTTTTTGTGTGTGGGATTGATGTAATTTAAGATATCTGCTTAGAGAAAAGGTAGTTCATGTTGAAAATTTATATTTGGTGTGCTGCCATATGTACACATTTATAATGTAGTCTTGAGACTAGTAACTTATATGACTTGAAAAACTGTAATTGTAATTAGTGCCATCATTTAGCCATGAGCTGCTTCTTTACTGCATTAGAATTCCTATTTTATATACTCACAGTTGAAAGAGTTGTACTAGTGATGTTTTTAAGTAGGCATTTGGACATAATTTGATTGCGATTTGAAAAAAATAGTATTTGAAGTTAATTTGAAAAACGATATTTAAAAGTTAAATTGTGTTTGGACATGAAAACATAGTGTGTGCTCAGACAGTGTGTCCTATCTGTGCGGAGACTAATAAAGGGCAGCCTGGTGCACTAAGCTCCCGGGGTCCGGAAAAGAGCTGGACCACAAGGGTCTATTGTACGCAGCCTTACCCTGCATTTCTGCAAGAGGTTGTTTCCACGGTTCGAACCTGTGACCTTCTGGTCACATGACAACAACTTTACCAGTTACGCTAAGGCTTCCCTCCGTGCGAAGACAATAATATTTTTCTAAAAACAATATGCATGTATATAATAGGTTTGATTTCATATAAAATAATATAAAGTAAATATTAGTTTGGGATCCGAAGTAAAACTTTAAACACCACGACAATAAGCGGACATCACTTGCTCAAAATTCTGCATGTCTCTTTTTATTGAGTGTTCATTAAGTTATTTCATAGGAGCATATACTTTTCTTGTAGATAAAGAAAAGTAGATTGTACTCATCATTAACATAGAAAAGGCTGAAACTAACAACTAGCTAAGGCAAAGAAGAAACTAACATCTCTCAACTCCTGAATTAGTAAAGCTTATAGCAGTGTTCATGTCACCAGAGAGCAAAAATGTGCCATTTAAATGTGTCAATTTGGAAGGGCAAAACGTTGGGGCATCGATGATTGTACGCCGTGGTTCTAGTGAATCAAGATCAGAATATTGTAGCATAAACATTTATATAAGTAATAATATTCAAGGAGTGAATAACTCCATTTTGTTGGGAAGCAAAGTGAAAATGGGGGATCCTGGTGTAAACTTGTCATTCAAAGACTTGGAATTTGAGAGAGAAAAGAAGAAGAGCAAGAAGAAAAATGGAGCAGCTTTTACATTTTGTTGGATGTTGATATTTGCATTTATCTCAGTTTTGTTCCTTTTTCTATTCATTTAGCTAATATCATCAACCATCAATTATCAAGAAGTCTTTATTGTTCTTATTTTGTTTTTCGACAATCAACAATGGTTTCTCACTTACTTTTAATGTGATTCGAACTTTTGAAACTTGTCGTTTAATTCTCACTCAACGTTTCCTTATCTAGCCCTTCAATTTCTAGTAATATACAGTAATTTGAGTTGATTTATGAGCTTTTTCTCGATAATGCACGAAACCAATCAAAGAACCAACTATCTCAATTTACCGATTATAGCATGGATAAGATTTTAGTTATATACACTCATGATAACATAAATAAATTTTACACTATCTCAACTGACCAATTATAATATATGCTACGAAAAGTTGCATATTATTGTAGGTCAATTTTACATGTTGGTATAAGAAACTAATGCATTGTCAGTTCAGGGAAACTTAAATTTAAAGGAAAACTAATTTATATACTTTGACAATATAATTTTTTTTTTACATTATCAACATATTTTAACTTATTATAGCAGGTACCCAATCTTATTTTTCAAATAACCTAATACTAATACTTATTAGGGATAGTTACATGTAATTGCATTATTTCAGTTACACAAAAGGAGCCTCAAAAGCCTGCGCCAATGTCCTAAAAAGAAGCTAGCCGTGGCGTGACTCAATTCAATGCTCAAATGCAGTAAAAACTAAAAACCAACGCCGCAGTGGAGCGTGTGCATAAATTGCACTGGTAACATTTTTATTTTATTTTATTTTGGGTAAACAAATGAACGTATTAACTGAACAGATATCTCCACGTTCTAAAATTTTCTTTCTACTACATGAACAAATTGGAACAAATTAATACTAAAAGATCATAGGAATATTTTCTTGATTTTTGAAATCTTGAAAATCATCTCGTGAAGAGGAGCTCTTAAATTTCACGAGTTTCCTCTTCTGTTTCACAAAACCAAATTTGAATTCTCTTCAACCCCTTTAAATACGACATCAAATCTTCCAAAAAAACATGCACTACATTCCAAGATTTGAGTACCTACTACTTACATGGAACTCAATATCCAATTCTACTTTCTTTGTTTCCTACTATGTTTTATTCCCTTGCTACAAGCTCAAAATTTACAAACTTACATAGTACAATTACATCCACATGCAACGACAAGAACCCCTTTTAGTTCTAAACTTCAATGGCACCTTTCATTTCTTGAAAAATTCATTTCCTCAGGAGAAGACTCTACTTCTCGACTTTTATACTCTTACCATTCTGCCTTTGAAGGTTTTGCTGCTCTACTATCTGAAAATGAGCTGAAAGCACTGAGGAAATCAAATAATGTGTTGTCCATATTTCCAGAGAGGAAACTTGAGATTCAGACAACTTACTCTTACAAATTCTTAGGACTTAGTCCTTCGAGGGAAGGTATGTTAGATAGTCTGTAACATATATATATATATATATNAAAACAGACTCTTGCAGAAATGCAGGGTAAGGCTGCGTATAGTAGACCTCTGTGGTCCGACCCTTCCCCGACCCCATGCATAGCGGGAATTTAGTGCACCGGACTGCCTTTTTTAGTTTAAAAGTGACATGATGGCGTAAATATTTCTTATGCTGACAGTATATATAACTTAAACTCATATAAATTTAAATAAGGACATGTCTATTCATGAAATAAGATGACTATTCTGAATAGCCTTCTTTTAACTCAATAAATATGTGGCTTAAGTCAATTTGCAGTAGTACACAGGCAATGCCTCTTTAAGGAAAGTTGTTTTCACGCCTCAGAGTCTTTCTTCTTACTTTCTTTAATTCTGTCTTTATGTTAGTATGTTTTTTCCTAATAAGGTACTTGGTTAAAGTCTGGATTTGGTCGAGGGTCGATCATTGGAGTTCTTGATACTGGAATTTGGCCAGAAAGTCCAAGTTTTGTTGATCGTGGGATGCTTCCAATTCCAAAGAAATGGAAAGGTACTTGCCAAGAAGGACAAGATTTCAATTCTTCGAGTTGCAATCGCAAGCTTATTGGTGCAAGGTTCTTTCACATAGGACACATGGTTGCATCAAAGGAAACAACATCACTAGATTTAATGGAGGAATATTTGTCGCCTCGAGATTCACAAGGACATGGTACACATACAGCATCTACTGCAGGGGGAGCTCCGGTTCCAATGGCGAGTGTGCTTGGAAACGGAGCAGGAGAGGCTCGAGGGATGGCCCCTGGTGCTCATATCGCGATATATAAAGTTTGTTGGTCTAGTGGCTGTTATAGTTCTGATATACTTGCAGCAATGGATGCAGCTATTAGAGATGGAGTAGATGTATTGTCACTTTCACTTGGTGGTTTTCCTGTTCCACTTTATGAGGATACTATTGCTATTGGCAGTTTTCGCGCTATGGAACATGGGATTTCAGTTGTATGTGCTGCTGGAAATAATGGTCCAATTCAAAGTTCAGTAGCTAATGAAGCTCCTTGGATTTCCACTATTGGTGCTAGCACACTTGATAGGAAATTTCCAGCAATAATTCAGCTAGGTAACGTTACAATTTGTTTAAATATAAGTATACATATTAATTTTTTTAACATTACATCCTTTTATCTTAAGCTGGTTTTTTCTTCCCTATAAATTGTCGTTTACTTTGCCAGAAAAAATAACTTTCTAGTCTTGCATCTATTAGCATAGGCTTGTCATATCCACTAAAGTTGTTTGCATTCAATTACATATCAATCTCGCGAAATAGAGGAGCAAAAATTGATTTTAGGAAAAGAGTTATTTAACGTGTTTCATATCGGTCATTGTTAAAAAGCTTATAATGCTTCTTTTGTTCGACCAAAATGGAGATGAGTCCGAGTTCTCGACCTCCACAATTTGTGTCAGAGTCTATCAGAAACAGTCTCTCTACCTTCTCAAGGTACGGGTAAGGTTGTGTACACTCTACCCTCCCTATACCCACTTTGTGGGATTTCAGTGGGTTTGTTGTTGTTGATGTTGAGTTATTTAATGTGTTTCAACTTTCAAGCCTAAATTATTTGTGTTCTTTGTTTTCCAACAGGTAATGGCAAATATGTGTATGGAGAATCCTTGTACCCTGGGAAGCAAGTTCATAATACTCCAAAAATTATTGAGCTTGTTTATCTCACAGATGGAGATAATGGAAGTGAATTTTGCTTAAGAGGGTCACTACCAAAATCAAAAGTCCAAGGAAAAATAGTAGTATGTAATCGCGGAGTCAATGGAAGAGCAGAGAAAGGTCAAGTTGTTAAAGAATCAGGTGGTGTTGCTATGATCCTGGCAAATACAGCAGTAAATTTGGAGGAAGATTCTGTCGATGTCCATGTCCTTCCAGCAACATTGATTGGTTTCGACGAATCAATTCAGTTGCAAAACTATATAAACTCAACACGAAAACCAACAGCTCGAATCATATTTGGAGGAACTGTTATTGGAAAATCTAGAGCACCAGCAGTTGCAGAATTTTCCTCGAGGGGTCCAAGTTTTACTGATCCTTCAATTCTCAAACCTGATTTAATTGCTCCAGGTTAGTAGCACAATATGATGTTTTGAACCCGAATCTTGTACTTATTAAATTTAAATTCTGGATCCGTCTCTGCTTTAGGTGTAAACATTATAGCTGCTTGGCCGCAAAATATAGGCCCCAGTGGCCTACCTGAGGATACAAGAAGAGTAAACTTCACTGTCTTATCAGGAACTTCAATGGCATGTCCTCATGTTAGTGGAATTGCGGCATTAATCCATTCAATTCATCCTAAATGGACACCAGCTGCAATAAAATCCGCGCTAATGACAACTGCTGATACAACTGATCACAAGGGAAAACCAATAATGGACGGCGACACACCAGCTGGAATTTTTGCTATAGGAGCTGGACATGTAAATCCTGGAAAAGCCGATGATCCTGGATTGGTATATGACATTCAGGCTAATGATTATATCACTCACCTATGTACTCTTGGGTACAAAAACTTTGAAATCTTTAGTATTACTCACAAGAATGTTAGTTGCCATGATATTTTACAGAAAAACAGGGATTTTAGCCTTAATTACCCCTCAATTTCTGTAATATTTAAGGCAGGTAAAACAAGAAAGATGATCACAAGGAGAGTAACAAATGTTGGGAGTTCTAATTCTGTTTATTCAGTTGATGTTGTTGCACCTGAGGGAGTTAAAGTTAGAGTTAAACCGCGACGTCTGATGTTTAAGCGTGTAAACCAAAGTTTAAGTTACAGAGTTTGGTTTATATCAAGGAAAAGATTTGGAAGTCAAAGAAGAAACTTTGCAGAAGGGCAATTGATGTGGATCAACTTAAGAAATAAAGATCAGAAAGTTAGAAGTCCTATTTCAGTGGCATGGGCTACAAAGAAGTGAAGGCTGTGGCTATTTTTATAAACTTGGAAAATAAGACATGTTACATGTTGTAAGCGTGTTATTATGCACGGATAGTGTAAAAATTCTTTACATTGTCGGTGTATGCAAGTCAAATCCATTTTGTAATAGTAGGAGCAGATTTTCATTGTCTTAATTCCAAACATTTAATTTGGATTTGCAGATTATATGATTTTGAGAATTTTGTGTGGTCTTAACTTTCACGTCCAATTCAATGTACTTGTCAGATCAATTTTTGCACAAAACGAATAACTAGATAGATAGCAAGTTCAAAGTGGATAAAGAAAGATACAAACAGAATAGAAAGGAAACATAACTGAATAATTAAATATATTTTTTATGATTTGAATTAGAGTAAAATCCATTTTACCCCTTTACCTATAAGGGTTGGGAAACAATACCTCCCCTCACATTTTGAATGGGAAAGGGAACCCCCATATACAATATTTTTTTGGTGAGAGTTCCTTTTTTAAAATAAAGATTTTTTTCTCTCTCTCTATCCTTTCAAAGGTTAAGTATAATATTTTTCATCCAAACCAATACTTGAATTTCATCTTTCTTGCTTGTAATATTTAAGATATTTTTTTATTATATTGAGGCCATTGTTAAAATTTCTGCAATAAAGAAAAGATTCTTGCATACAAAATTCAAGAAATATGGTGAACGCACATTCACCATGGATGCTTAAGCATTTCAATTTGAAAGAAAAAATACACTGAAATAGTCAATTCTCTGACATATATATTAGATGAAAGAATTGCTGCTATGAGTATTAATTTATTTATATATTTTCTTTGTATATTAAAATTATTGTACTAAAGCAATTATTAAACTTTACTTATTTTGAAAATATCTCTATTGAACATAAATTATAGTTGATAGTGTCACATTTGAAAATTCATTATGGAGACGTATTTGCATTACATCGTATCTTAAACTATGCAAAAAGAAGACTAAAGGGAAACTCCATAACTTATATAGATCCTAATTATTTGTCATATTTTGAGCTTTTGACTATAATGAAAGAACTTGGTTATTCTAAAAATTATCTATTCAAAAAAAAAAGATTTTTATTAAAAAAATTATTTCACCGGAAAACTATTGCACACGGGGTTCCTTTTCTCATTCAAAACGTGAGGGGTTATTGTTTCCTGATCCTTAAAAGTTAAAAGGGGTGTAGTGGATTTTACTCTTTGAATTATATATTTTTGTTAGTTCTAATTTAGGTTTGGGAAATGAACTGAATTAAGTTAACTCTTGTTAGCATTACTGAGTGCTTTATAATGGTAAAGTTTGAGTCAAGGTTGTCATTTTTAGCCACAAGGCATCCAAATTTTGGCAAATTTTGCTAGGCTTTCTTGGTCTTAAAAAGTAACACATCAAAGCTTATTGGATCATTTAGGCTAGCTATAAGAATATTTTGTCAAAAGATAAAGTATACAATTGTTAGTTACATTTTTTTTTTCTAGAAAGAAAAGAAGTTTTTGGTTTGGTTTGTTGGGTATTTTACCCTTTATTCAATTTCACCCACTTCTCTCCATTTAAAAAGGTACTAGCTTTTATTAAAATTGGTTTTATATATATTGTTTATACTTCATATATTTTCTTTATCAATTATTAAGTGATCAAGCTATGAAAATAACTCAATAAAATCACTTTTAAATTTATTGTAATAATGAAGTCATCCAATTTATCGCAGCCTAGAAAATCATTTGTGGTGCCCAAAAAAGGTGATGTAGCATGCTACCACAGTCACTAAACTTTCGAATTTCTAAAATGATACGAATTTTCACAAAGTCTCTATTTATTTCTTACATAAACTCCCAAGTCAATAATGTTTAGTTGATTATTTTTAATTATTTTTTACCAAATAATATTTGTATTTTTTTTAACCAGCTAAAATATTATTTACCTGAGAATGCAGTGAGTCATTGACAAGAATGCCACTGCAATTTTCGCCGCTCGTCCGACAAATTGCTTAACTTTCCATAGATCTATATTATGCTCCTCTCCATTATTCGCTCTCTTTCTCTCTGATTCGTAGAATCTCTTAAATCACCGTATCTCTCTCTATTCTCTGTAATAAATTCTCCTATTTAATAAAGAAGATACGGTACTTATGTATTGTAACATATATTACTAATAAGTTACCTTTTCTACGAATTGTAACAGTAATCTGCATCTCCTTTTTGAACCCTAAAGGTCTTGATCTAGGTTTTTTTTTGTGTGTGAACTCACTTGAGAGGGAAATAATGGCGAGCTCTTACTCTGCTCCAATCGGAGCCACTCAGGTTTTTTTAATCATCGCCCTCTCTCACTATAATATGCAGTTTAATCCATTCCTGTTTTTATTGATTTATCTTAATATGTGTTGTTTTTTGCTTCTTTTTTTTTTTT